GGTCTGAGTAATTGCAGTGTGGTACCCGCAATACCTTAAGCTTTTCACCACTTCCCATAGTTTATGGGGCCCTGGGGAGTATTTTCTATTCATGCTGGTAAACTTCCACAGTAACTGCTCCAAACCAACATATTCAAATACTTCTTTTCTTATTACACATATAGCCCTTGAACTCCATTATTTTTAAAAAAAAAATTGATTTTTTTTTTTTTTTTTTGGGAAAGGAGGGGTTAATTATTTTTATTTTTGAAATTATATTTAATTTCAAGAAGTATCATTTCAAATTTTTTTTTCCCAACTAAAATTGAAGGTTGAAATCCATGTACCAGAAAAATAATGCGGACCCAAATGCAATGACACCAAAAGTCAAGGACGTGGCTGCATTTTCAGGTTTCTACCCTCTTAAATTTCAATTATATTTTCTTCGAATTCCTACAATTTTCAATAAACCCTAATGTACTAACTACTATACATAATACATAAAAGAAAATAAGTAAACAAAACTGACAGTTTCATTATGTAATATTTTTCTAAGATTCTCTTCGTCCAAGTTAGACCACATAGTCTCATTGCATGTCGCTCTCCGTCAACCCCACCACTAATCTCTCTCTCTCTCTCTGTGCAAATGCTCAATGCGGAGAGAAGAAAGAAGGCAAAAAGTTTCCAAAAAGATACACCGAACAAGACTCCTAAATCAACCTTCGATTCATGCTTTCCCACAGAAAGTCTAGATAAAACCAGTTCAGGAGAGAAAATTGAAGCGATTCTCCTCATGAGATGGGCATAAAAAACTGCCCTATACAAGATATAAATTTGTGCTCTGATCAAACTCCAACTTTCATTGAATGGCTCAAGCCACTACCCTTTCCATCTTCTTCTTCATCCATCACACACCAAATTATTGATCAAATCAATAACCCCATGAGTTTCTTGAAATATCCTCTCTATTATCAACAGCAACCCCCAAAAGAAGAATACAATATATACGAAACTATCAAATGCTTGCCTCTTCTTAGCAGATTCAAAGAGGAAAAAAGTTTGAAAAATGAAGAAGATGATGATGAAGATGGAGCAAAAAAGGAGGAAAAGATGGAAAAAGTGACTGTGGCTCTGCACATAGGGTTGCCTAATGTGGGAGCTTTCGATACTGAAAGTAAACCCTACAATTTTAAAGAAGAATATGAAAAGAAGAGATCTAATGTTTGCAGTTTCAACAGTAGTGATCAGAGGAGATTTTGGATCCCAACACCAGCACAGATTCTTGTTGGACCCATGCAGTTTTCATGTAATATATGCAACAAGACCTTCAATAGGTACAACAACATGCAGGTTAGTAACCTTGAAACCATTAGTTTTTGAATATTTATGCATGTAGAAAAATTGGAAAATGATTTTTTTGAGCTCTTAGAGAAGATATCTTACACTTATATTTGTCTTTTTTGCACCATGAATCAGAGCATAAAATCGTTCTTTTTTTCTCTTTTAATTTCAACCATATAAGATCAAGCTCGATCCATGTCCCAAAAAAATATTTGACTTCCTTTAACAAGACAAGAAACTCGTAAATCAAGATCGTTGGATATGAAGAAAAAGTAAATCTTATTGGAAATTTCCTCATACTCACTAGATCAGCAAATAGGTTCATGCTGATGGTGCGAATTGGGGTCAGCTGATATAATCTTTACATAGCTTTCAAAATTTTATGGGGTCAACTAAAGAATAATATTCATCATTAAGTGTACTAAGGCAATGAATAATGTTAATTATGACTTTTACATTGGATAAATGTCTAAGATTTTCACCATTGGCATATAATGAAATTGCAGGCTGGTGCATTATCTATACATAATAAAATGAAGTAATCGCGACAATTATTTCATCTACCAATTTGCACACTGCCACTGAATATTCGTCTTGCAGAGCTATATCACATTAGACATAATTATAAGAGAAAATAATTAAATTCATGTTTGAACATGAATCTGTATTGTCTCACCTTATCCCCTTTTGAATTTCTCTTAAATACCTTAAATTTTTAGATGATATAGATAAAGGTCATACGTCCAGGTAAACCTTTATGAAACGTCTCAAACTTTTGATAACTAAACTTGCAAACACGAGATAGTTAAAGAAAAAATAGAAATAAATAAATTTATTCTTTTTAATAACTTAAACTTCAAGAAAAAGTTGCTCGACTTGTCATAGTGTAGTATTAATCCTCGAGTAATGTCTCATACACAAATTGGGGGTGATCTCCATGTGAGGTCACATTAAGCCCCTGTCTGGTAGATATTAAAATCTATGTTTTAATTTAAATCAAAGTCAATAATTCATTTCAACCACATATTTTATGAGTCACACAATCTTTCAATCACACATTTCACCAATTTCTATTAAAATCTACTAAAAATCTAATTTCAATCTTCACCAAATAGGGGCTACATGATAATTCCTTATCACTTGGAGATAATCTACACTTTGTACGTATAACATTTACGAGTCATATTCAGCCCCTATTTGAGCCCCATTTTTCTCAAAATTCGTTTTTCTAAAACTCATTTTCAAATACACATTTTCCCTTAAATAATTTTACATGGAAATCCAAAACCTTTTCTATTTTTTACACACATTCACAAAAAAAAAGGAGTTCAAACAGAGGCTTAAGATGTTCAATTATTTAAAAACATTTAATGGACACCTATACTAATTGCATTTGTGGAGTTGAATAACATTACTCTTATTCTTATTCCTCACACGGATGTCAAATACCGTCATTTCCTCACAGTGTACTCGATCAATTTAGATAATCCATCATTATTTCTCCTTAAGTAATTTTACATGTAAATCCAAAATCTTTTCTATTTTTTACCACACATTCGTAAAAGAAAAGGGGTTCAAACATGGGCTTAAGATGTTCAATTATTTAAAAACATTTAATGGACACCTATACCAATTTCATTTGTGGAGTTGAATAACGTTAATCTTATTTTTATTCCTCACACATATGTCAAATACCGTCATTTCCTCACAGTGTACTCGATCAATTTAGATAACCCATCATTATTTCCCTTAAATAATTTTACATGTAAGTCCAAAACCTTTTCTATTTTTTACCACACATTCGTAAAAGAAAAGGGGTTCAAACATGGGCTTAAGATGTTCAATTATTTAAATTTCTATTTTTAAACACACAATCACAAAAAAAAAAAGGAGTTCAAACAGAGTCTTAAGATGTTCAATTATTTAAAAACATTTAATGGACACCTATACTAATTGCATTTGTGGAGTTGAATAACATTACTCTTATTCTTATTCCTCACGTGTGTATGGATGTCAAATACTGTCATTTCCTCACAGTGGTACTCGATCAATTTAGATAATCCATCGTTATTTTCCGTTGCTTAACGAACTAACTTGCTCAAGACTGAGAAAATATGGGTGTAATCACCTTGCATATAGGGATTTAGAATGTTGTGTAATAGAGAATAAAAATAATTCCCACGGTCTAAGATAATTAATAGGTTTATGAGCTTGAAAAATACGGATAACTTTACTTGAAATATACAGATGCACATGTGGGGGCATGGTTCTGAATACAGGAAAGGACCGGAATCTCTGAGAGGAACACAACCAGCAGCAATGCTGAGGCTTCCCTGCTATTGTTGTTCTCAAGGCTGCAAGAACAACATCAACCATCCACGTGCTAAGCCGTTGAAGGACTTTAGAACACTTCAGAGTCACTACAAAAGAAAGCATGGAACCAAGCCATTTATGTGCAGAAAATGTGCAAAATCTTTTGCTGTGAAAGGAGATTGGAGGACACACGAGAAGAACTGTGGAAAACTATGGTACTGCACCTGTGGCTCTGATTTTAAACACAAAAGATCACTCAAGGATCATATTAGATCATTTGGGAAGGGTCACTCTCCATATCCTTCTCTTGAAGGGTTTGAAGATGAAAAAGACTGTGTTACAGGCGGCTCTGAAGATGACAATGCATGAGAAAGATACTTTAACGTGTTCATGTTGTGTCGTGTCTGTTTTCTACATTTTGATATTTTGAAGATTTTAGTAGACATTCTCTGTGTGAGTTACAAGATTTGCCCAAGCCCGGTGCTCAGTAACAAACAATTCTCTATCCTGTAGTTGCAGGAAGTGTGTAGGGATGGTTTGATGGGGAGCACTGGTTTTTAATTTGTATTTGGAATAAGGAGATTATGTTGAAGTCTTGAAGCGGATGAATTTTCTTCTATTTTGATCATCAAGGCGTAGAAAATTTGTCGGCTTCATTGCTGTCTTTTGATCTCAACTCGAGTGTACTATGTTTTAATCATTAATGTAACATTGAGGTTCTCTTTTTCGTTCTTCACTATAGCTATATCTATCTTTGAGAAATAAACTTGATTTAAAGCAAATTAATTTTTTATATCGTGTTTGTTAATTATTATCATTAAGAGAGTTCAATATATAGTTTCGTTTGTCATTGTTCGAGAATACTCTAATATTTAGGATTATCTCGTATCGGTGGAGTATTTCGTAGATGTTAGTGAGTAGTTAGGAGAGATTAAGGTTGTTGGGAGATTGTGTGGGAGAGTACTAGTGAACACTATAAATACCATATTAAGGCTGTTTGGAGACACTACGAGAGTTTATTGCGCACTGTAATTTCGTTGGTATGTTAGTAAGATCATTCAAATTAAACACCTTTAAAATTATTTTAGACGTAAAATCACCAATTATTGAAATAACTTATATAAACAAGAAACACCCTTATTTTTCATCAAAATTTTCAAAAAAAAAACAATGGACCTTATTAGGTTTGTAAACATACAAGAAAATCGATGAAATTTGCTTGAAATTTTGCAGTTTTACTTTTAATTTTAAACAAGGGGTGTAAGTTAAAATGAACAAGACAAAATAAAAAAATTAAAAATAAAGAAAAAATTAAAAAATTAAGTACTAAGCCCATATTTGGTGGGAATTAAAATCGCGATTTTTATTTAAGTCAAAATCAACAATTAATTTGAATCATATATTTCATAAGATTCACAATTTTTTAACCATACATTTTATTAATTTTTATCAAAATCTACTGAAAGTCTTATTTTAATTCCTACTGAACATGAGATAGGTAAGAGAAAATCTGAAAAAAAGAGGAGAGAGCTTGGACCTACCATGAACTATGGGTAAAAATTGGTTAACTCTGAATATTACAATTACTATGAAAGCGATCACCAGCCTAAAACCCTAAACCCAGAGCAAACACCCCAGAGAGAAGGGAAGGTGAATCACAAATTCGTAAAGAAAGCTTCCCGTTTCCTTAAATATCTCATGATGGTCGATTCACAAATCACACCTTCATATATTTTGTATCTCAACTATGTTTCCAATCCATTTTTTCCCTCCTTTATCTATATCTAAACAATTCGCTCTCAATGATATTCTAATAAGTAATAATTACATTTTTTTTGCTTTATAAACTTTCACAGTACTACTAATGCAATTGGAATCTATTGCAAAAAAAAAAAAAAGATCATGTAGAATCTTCATCTAAAAAGAGGAAAAGACATAGCGTTGCCAACTTACCATATTATTAACGAAAAAGTTAGCTTGAAGGCATGTACAAAATGTTGGAAATTGGATTAAAATAGGAGAAAGATTGGTTAAGAATCGAAAATCAAGCATTTGAAAGTGTGACTTCATGTCAACCTCGACCAGTACGTAACCCGTTTATTTGTTCTTTGCCACTTCGAAATGGGGGGTTCAACGGGGATCAACCTAGTGTCTCAAAACCAATTTCGGATGAATGAGAAATTGTGGTCCAAAATTGGAAGGAAAAAAGGAGGATAATCGGATGACCCATTGCTCGAGTGACAATATCGCTCGCTCGAGCTAACAACGAGCAACGGGTTCATTGAAAGTGTCGCTTGAGCGACGTAGCGAGCGGACAACATGCGAAAATCTGGAAACGCACGACTGTTGTGTTTTGGCTCACACTACTTCGTCCACAACCCTTCAACATCTATAATTAGGACCCTAGGGACGTCTCAATCTTCACACTAATGATATGCAATCATATAATATTCATTTTCTCTCATTTCTTAACCAAATTCTTGCATTCTTGTTGCACAAATTCTGATTTTTTTCACTTTGCATACCGAAGTGCGTAAACCAAGTTTTGGTTCGCCGTTTCTTGTGTTTTGGAGTGCTACTCACACAAGAAGATAGTCATTGTATCTTGGGAGTTAATTGTCATAAACCGTGGGCACCGTTGTCAGTCAAATTCAACTTAAAGACAAAGTATTCAACACTTGCCTCGACTTTGATATTATTGCTGCTATACTGCACATTTTTGAGAATTTATTTAGAGTCCATTTCCTATCGTTACTCTGCTGAAATTTCTACAGAATTTTAAAGGTGATTTGAAGTAGTTCCCGGCATTGTTTGTCACTCCATACACAAAACATACACTCAAATAAAAAAATAAAAAGCTACTGTTGTACTACACAATTAAATTTAATTAAAACTACAATTCTGAATTAATTTCTTAGTGATTTAAAACGTTTTAAGAAAAATATTAACTAAAATATTTGATTAAAAAGTTGTAAAGTTTATTAAATATGTGGTTAAAATTAATGGTTTAACTTAAATTAAAATCTTGATTTTAACTTTTATGAGGGTTTAAATAACCAGCGATTCATAGTTAAAAGAAAAAGGAAAAATGAAAAATGAAAGACAGCAGGAGAATTTACAAAGAACAGCTGTCCGTTCCATAGGCAGTGAAAAAACTCATTCGTGGTCGTGGCAAACAGTCGTAACCTGGAGTACACATGTTCGCTTGCAAGAATGACAAACAGAATGTAGTTTTGCAAGTAACAATGCAAGTACGTGTTTGTAAAATCAGGTTGTCTCTATCTACCACCGCTCCTCTGTTACTTTCTACTCAAAATTCTCGTTGTCACTCTTATGAAAACTTGTTGGTATTCTGTAAATCTGAGTTCACTCCAAATAAAATTTGTGGGTCTTTGTTCTAGCTGAAATTGTAGCACAAAACACAGGAAAGAGCTTAAAATGATGGTTTGTTTCTCGTTTCTGTTATTTTGATGGCTGCATGTTTTGAGTTTGTCAATAATTGGTTCCTTGAGAGATGAAAACGAAATCTTGAAGTTATTGGCATATATTATGGTTATTCTGATTATTTCTTCTTTCTCCTGATCAAATATTTTAGGATTTTTTTGTTGATATCCTTACTTGTTTCCGATTTTTTTGTTTATGATGTCAAAATAAGTTAAATCATGAACTAGTGCAACGTTTACACTAGACTTTGTTTATTTATGGAGCTCTAATGTAGAGAGATTTCACACTAGACTAGGAATTACCCCAATAATCGAAAGAAAACCATAAATATTGTCAGAAGTTGGAGCAAGAAATGTGGTGTCATTTGAATAAATCTGCATAGGTTATGTGTGTGTATATAAGATTCGCCTTTTATGTTTTACTATTTTGTAGCAAGAATGTGGTGTCATTTGAATGAGATTTCAATTGATGATATGACTTGCTGAACATTAATCGAATTCTATTATTTGGACCTATGTTGTTCCTGTTGATATTCTTGCAAGAGATCAACTGCTCATTCTTCTGGTCATGAGGAGAAGATGGTAACAAGGAAGCAAAAGGCAGAGGGAAAGGCACCTGAATCTGACCAGTCGCCAAAGAAGGCCAAAACAGAGGTCGAGAATGACCAGACAAATGGGAAATCAACTGATGCTATTAGAGCAGAATTTGAAAAATTTTGTAAGGAAACAAGTGAGCATCTTTCGATCCAGCAGATGCGCAAAATTTTGGAAGCCAATGACCAGGATTCATCTGGCTCCGATGATGCTGTTATCCCCAGATGGTATGCAGGATTAAAATTTTGCAACTCAAAGAATAAATTCTTGATATTAAGTTTTTTTTTTTTTTTTTTTGTTGGTTGTAATTTTTCTTGTTTTTCTCATTTTCAGCCAAGATATATTGTTTTATGGGCCAATAGACAAATGTATGATCTGTGGTGGAACTTTGGAGTTGTCTGATATGACCTACTGGTGTCAAGGGTCATATAGTGAATGGTCTACTTGCACCTTCAACACTAGGGATCCAACAAGAAAAGACGAGCCCGTGAAATTGCCGGAGTCTGTCCAAGAATCTGATATATATGATGTAATTTGTCTGTTTTGGTCCATCTGTTTAATATGCAAATCCCCGTAATTGTGCTTTAATGTCATTTTCATGTTGCTGTAGTTGCTGAAGAAGCACCAAGATCCTAAACCACGCTATAAGAAAGTTGCTTCGACTCCTGCTGAAAAACCTTTTAAGGGAATGATGATTTCTCTTTCAGGCCGTCTAAGTCGAACACATGTATTCTCTTAGTTCTGGTTTTCAGCATTCTGGTATTACAACTTATTATGTTTGCGTAGGATTTTTTTCATCACTAATTTAGCAACATGCTACACAGCAATTTTGGAAGTCAAAGATTGAGAAGCATGGTGGGAAAGTCAGCAAATCTGTTATTGGTAAATGATGCTGATAAAGGCCGCAAATTTCCATGTTTTCATGTTCATCTTGGCTAAGATGGAGATGTGTACCGTGCAGGGGCAACTTGCCTAGTGGTGTCTGCAGCAGAGAGGGAGCGTGGAGGGTCATCGAAATTGGCTGAAGCAGTGTAAGTGCTTCGTCATCACTTAAGCAGATGCATTACTTGGCATGTGATGCAAGTATTTTCAGACGTCCAAAGCTGGTTATTACTACATTTTGCAATTGGAAAAATTAAATTATATGACTTACTGAAAGGATTGAGGAAAATGAACCAAGTGAATATATTGATTGTAATATTAATTCTCTTCCAGTTACCTGGTTGACACAATACCCCCAACTAATAGGTCTTTTGTGCTGAATCTATGGATTTTTTTAATATTATTATTTGCATGCTGTTCAACATGATTCTTTGATTCAGTATAGGGGTG